AAATAAATAAATAGAAACTCGACTGCCCACTCCAAGCTTTTTTATGTCGCCACCCTCCACACAGCTCCTTCACGCCGATTTTTCCCTTCTTCACAGCCAGAAAAAAAGATCTGTAGAAGTTGTAGAATAGAATTTACAAACGGTATTCACCACAACGCCCGACGTTTCACTTCGAGGCTGTCGAGCACTTTTCTCTACGGGTTGCAAGTCTCCAAAAGGACTCCTGAAATGAAATGACTTAGAGGTGAAACTATTCAGAGTAACACAAAGTAATGGAGTCCATTTCAGAAACTTATGGCAAGCTGGTTGCTGGTTGCAATCATAACGGACAGTGTTATATAGACGAGTTGTCGCTAAGTGCGCACGGCAGTGGGATCATGTCCTGGATCGTGCGCCATCGTGACTTACTAAGCTTCCCAACCCTTCGGGGTCCGTCAATTGGACCAGACTCTCTGGCAGGATAAAACACTGACGGGTGCATCACCTAGCCCCGTAAGTCACTATGAAGCAAGACCGCTTTTGGAATGACACTATGATACTGAAAAGATTTAGGATGCGTGGCAAATCCCCAAACTCAAGGACCTATGCTGAGTTCTTATCCCTCCCTATCAGTTCCCCGAAGTATGGATGGTCGATTTGAACAATCTATGAAAAGATGTAGCTGAGCTAGAGGTCACACTTCTTAATCACACTGAACATACGAAGGTCTTTCCACTCGTTCTCCACCTGCCGTGTCTGATGGGAGATCGGGCACGGGAACGGCAAATTCCCCCATCGTCTTCGCTATACTATCTCGTTCCATTTGTTGTCGTTGTAAGAGCTCTTGGTACCTGAACATAGATTGCTCATTATTTTCTCCATATGCTTTGTTCCTTTTTATTTCCATCAAGAAGCTAAGACGAAGAAGAATAAAAGTTAACTCAATCGATGGGATTGAGAAGTGTGATTCAGATTGTCTATTCCGGCGGCTTAGCCTAGCTTTTTTCACATTGGCATAGGTAGACTGACCGCGGGCAAACGTGCAGTTATCGAGCTCGTTAGTTTCACTCGGAATCGAGGGCAAGTTTACACCTCCATGTGCTTTATTAGAGCACCCGACAAGAGGCCCGTCGCGCGGCAAGAAGGCGGAGTCAGCGGACGAGTTGCAGCGCGTGCTGTGCGATGTAGGACGTATAATGGTACATTCTATTTAACAAAAGCTAAGCAAACTCGTCCGCTGACTCTGCCTTCTTGCCGCGCGACGGGCCTTTTGTCGGGCACCTGCTTTTTTAGCACCAGTAAGTGAGTGTCCTTCAAATGTCCTTCTCCAGTTTCTCCAGTGCAACAGTTAGGCACATCAGCAGTGCATATGAACACAAACCGCTGTTTTTGTGAAACGATTCGAAACCTCAGCCATACGTTCAGTAGACTTGTTCACTGCCCTTGAAGTTTTTAGAACTTAAAGGAATCTTCCACGGAAAAAGCTCCGCCCTCATTACCACAGAAAACGATACCTTAAAGGAATTCCACGGAAAGAGTGATCATTTTGTCTTGTGTGTAGGATTAGTATTATCGAAACTAACGCTTATGTTCCGTTCTTTTTGCTATGCTCATGAGGCTAGGGGCCTAAGGTATCGTTTTTCTGTGGTAATGGAGGCGGAGCTTTTTCCGCGGAAGATTCCTTTAACAAGGAATTTTTTTTCGCTTGAAAACCCCTTCATCTTAGCGAATTTTATCTCAGGTGTTAGAGCAAAAAAAGCTTAATAGATACCCAACACACCTTTTTATCTGGATTTGTGCTGCGTACTGTCTCATTCGGTCAAGATACTGCTGGAAGTATTGATCTTGTGCTTCGTTCGCTTTTCGGCGATATTGTTGCCGTTTATATTCATATTCCTCCAACTCGCGCAGATATTTTCGCTCTTCCGGTGACGTGTGATGCCTTAAGAAAGTCGTCCTCTTCAGATTCCGTGGAGCAGCTCATCAAAAAGCAGAAAACCAAAGCAAAATCAAAGCGAGCGACATCAACAAAGGTATGGTGTCATGCTTAGAGGACAAAAACCATAAGAATTGGTGTGGAACCCGGAAATTCGACCCCCTCTTAAACCTTTTATTTCCTCATTAACGTGACACCCTCTGCTTCAGGTACTACCGGTACTGCCCTCTTCAACACTAACGCTCTTTCTGCTGAACGGCTAGAGTCAGACGGCGAAAGCTTACACATCGGTGGACGTGCACCGGGGCCAGTAAGGCCCTACTGGACCGCTGGTGGCATGCCCTTTCTTGCAAAACGCCTATCGCCCACTTTTACGAAGACATCCTGCTTTTTGACTATACGTATCTTTCCCCTTTTTCAGTCCAAGACCTTATCGTAATCCTGCCACAATATAACCAATCTATCGTAATAAATGTGACGCCGCAAAGCTTGAGGAGTATGATAGTGCGATTCGTTGGTGTGCACAGTCTGGTATCTAAGCGACCACCACCGCATCTTTCAAAGAAGCATGCCAATTCGTGCAGGCACACATGCACTATCACTGGTAGTTAAACGAACCCAATAATTTTTGGAAGTAAGAATAGGGGCCGTAGTTGGTATGTCGTCTTAGACCCTGTCCCATGTGGCGGTCGTTAGTGGATTGCCGCGGAAAACCCTGGCTTAGAAGACGAATTCACGATGATAACGAAGGTGAAAGAGTGGGACAACTGCATAGGTTGGGAGACAGGCGGGCCTCCTGGTTGCTGAACGAAGCGCAGTGGGCAGGCAGAAAGATACGACCTCGGCGATATAGCATGGCTCACTCTTGGCGCAGTCGGCGGGCCCGCCCGTCGACCATCTGATCACTCGCCGCAGGTCTACACGTGACGAGTGAATTAGATTAGCAGAAAAGCGTAGTGTTGAAGAGGGCACAACGATGAGAGTCGCATCAATGCGCAAATCAACGGGCAAGGAAGGGGTCTCATTTCAGGGTTTCGGGCCGTTTCAATGGTTTCTTCTTCATCCCTGCTCCACTGACCACTCTACCCTTATTTTCAATGAGCTAACTTTTCATCGTAATTCTGCTTGAATTTCAAAAGGTCATGGTGTTAAATTTTTGTTTCAGTCAAAAAATCTGGCCATGACAATTTCATGTGTTAGGAATTATGGTGCAATCTGTTTCCCTCCAGAAGAACATCAAAATAAACATACTAACCTATGCCGTTGATACGACACGTGATGATGTTCGACGCGACTATCAACAGTGTCTCTGAAAAATGAGTTTTAATTAACAGTTTAGCCAAGCCAAATCCAGCTTGAAAAAGCTACTCCAAATCTCTTTTGGCTTCATTCAGAAATGGAAGAATGCTGTGCTCATTAAAAGTGTGGTCACTCGTCGAGATCTTTGACGAAGCCATTTTTGAAATACTAAGTTCGCTGAGTACTCACAACAACCACTGTGGAGAGCTAATCTTCTAGTTAACAGTCTTAGCATGCTGTCAGAAGCAGCTGTGCCTTTTAAAGGCGATCTTTCCTTGACACTGTTGCGAAAATTCTCCAAAACGGTAGCCACTTACAACAAATTCACTCTCATTTCTTTCAGACTTTAGCCAACGTTTCCGCTTACAGCTGTTTGCAAACAAAACTGGAGATATGATTCGCAAAAATGTGTGAACGTGCATATTCCGAAAATTTTCCTCAATTCATTTTGCCACAGGAGTCATTTCTCTGCATGCACCTTCTAATAGGCCATCTCCTGGAAGAATTTATGATCATAACCAGAAAGTACGAGTAGAATAATAGGTCCTATACAAGTGGAATGGCATTTTCGCGCATGTCAAGTGACTGCCCCCCCTCACCCCCCTAGATTGGCTACACTCCCCCTGGCTCACGAATTCCCCGATTCTCGTGACAGTATAGTAGCGGGCAGCAGTCCCACTTACATACATTTCTGTTCAAAAAATGCGGCGTGCCCACCCTACTTGTATAGCACCGAATTCTATTATAAAATTTTTGCCCAGATGTAGGATAGAGTGTATGTTCTCAACTGTAAAATGATACGGAGTTCAGATTCAAGTGAGGGTGTCTTCAGTGAACACCAATTTAATGCAGAGTTGTATGCAAATTTGTTGACTCGAATCGATGATAAGATCAAAGAAGTGTCAATAAATCACCTGCCGATTGGTATGGGATCTGGTGGTGGCGTGCGGCTATCGGCGGCAATACCATAGAGAAAACATATCCAACTGAGCCGAACAAGCGTATTCATTGATAGTGCCTGTCGGTTGGTAAATCGTAAATGTCGTATATGAACAGCCTTCTCGAAATGAAGGTCCAAGATGGGCAAGTAGAGTAAATATTTGAATGAGAAAAGAGAGAGAATTAATGGAAATATGTGGATGAGGTAGACTCAGGATCTGTCTTGACTCCTTCATTATGAGTTATCTATTAACGATTCCTTTCAGCTGCTTTTTTATATACTCATGATGTGCTCGGCTTGCTGTAACAAATGCTTCATCCACGACTACTAGGGAGATTCAGACAAAGCAAAAGATTCTTACGCTCTGTGCAGCAACACAATAAATAAGTGGAGGGGCACGACTGGCAAAAGAAAAGCGAAAAAAATGCAAAGAGAACTGTAGTGAAGGGTTCGATTTAGAATTTCACAGCCAAAAGGGTCTCAGCTCTAGAAGGGGTGCGCTATGTACGTTGCTTATGGTGAGGTGAGGCAACAATGCCTCCATTGAGTAGATGGCATTTGAGGAATTTCACGGACGGGAGTCAGAAATGATTATGGCCTTTTTAATATAGTGATCACGGATTCCTTCAAGTTTCAGCAGTCATAGATTGAAAGTAGAGCTTTCTCCGAAATGGCCGGCTGGTGGGAACGAGACTGACTACATTTGTCTTTATGCGGGAGTGTGTGTGTAATGTGTGACGACCTTCTGCATTTGTTCGGCGACTATTGAAACACCCATAAAACATCTACCCTATAAGGTGGTTTATCGCGTGGTTTCGCACTAAAGCATGAGAAAGTTCTTCGTGGCTGTCTTCCAAAAGCTAGCTGGCGCAGTCTCGCAAGAAGGCTCCGAGAGTTCTCTCTCACATTGACCACCGGGTATCACCTTCTCCCAAAGGGTTTGGGTAGCGAAGCGAGTGGTACGTAAGTATTCGCGGATCACTGTCAGAATCCTCTGTTAAGGGTATGCTTCAGGATCGGACTGGTCTTGTTCTTCTCCCCCATATAAATATGAAAGTACTGGTGCGAAATAGGCCGGCAGGTTGCACGTTCAGAAAAGGGAAAAGAATCTGTCGCAAAAATAAGAGGACGCCAGATTAAAGTCTACTGTGGACGGGAAGAATTGGAGCAGTCGGAGCTGTCTTCGCCAAGGCCACTAGCATCCTCTTCTGCTATTACTATTCATTGACGGGAGGCCAGGCTGTGGCTTTCCTTTAGTGGTCCAGACAGAATCCTGCACAGGACTTCAGTCTGGCTCGTTTCTTTAACTTCACAGTGAGCCTTCTGCGGAGCAATTTTTACAGTAGTCCATTAGTGGTGGAACAAAGTGCAATGGAGGGCTTTTTTTGCTATTTGTAGCTGTACAATCAAATTAACATTTCCCGAGATCATCGACTTCGCCGATGCATTGAAGGTCAGTTGGGTGGCACACGCACACGTCATATGATTCGGCGACGACTGGACCTGGGCACCATCCGCTGGACATCTCGGAAATGCAAGGGATTTCGGGACGACAGTGGTGATAAATCTTAGCCAACCGCTAACACAGAATCAAACTGTATACTGATGTATATACGTTTCGTGATATTAGAAGCAGTCTGCTGTGGTGTGGTGAGTCGCTCAGATGTGAACTTAAAGGCACGGGATTAGGCGATCAAAGAAACCCGCTCTGTCCATACTACCACTGGGTCTGCAACCGTGGAGGTGATGGCCGCTCTCGTGACTTCGGAGTGCCGCGCGCTACAACAGCCCTTCTGCCTACATTTAGGACCGCGCGTGAACTATGACGTCCACTCGCCGGTAGTAGCGGAAAATCAGCTTGAGTTCGGTAAATCAGCTCTTTCACAGAGCCAGCAAATAGTTATCGTTATTACGACTCATTAAGACATGCACTCCTCCTAAGCCAGCTTCCTTCCCCGCATTGGGAGAGAACTTTTATTTTCGGCTTTGTCCACGACTTCCTCTACTTTCTTCTTCACTAGGGTTCCATTTCGAATCTCTGCACTCTACTTTATAAGCGTCAAAAAAACTCCCTCCGATCCGACTCGTGCCTTTGAAAAAACAGCCCCAAATGAAATTAGTGAGGTGACAGAGATCGATGAAAAATTGAGGATGTCAAATTGATTTGAAAATGAAGAAAAGGTTCGAAACAAACCGTCAGAGAAGTCTTTCTATCTCCCTTGAATGAGCGAGTGGGTGTCGGACGAGTTGTCTGGACTTGCTTGCTCCATGGCTCCACTGACTTCGCGCGTATGCAAATTAGCCGCTACGTCGTAATCCACGCTGGCGTCTCGCTTGGTTTGTGCGAGGCTTCTTATCCGTAAGTTCGTGTTATCGCCCATCAGACAACTTTGTAAGGTCTAGCGCCACTGTCGCGCACTTTCGAGCCGCGAGGGCGGCATATTTGTGATGCTCGTGGGCTACTTTGTCCCACCTACAGATTGGATTCTTCGACACTTCTCGATTTAAAAAGAAGTGGCAAGTGCTCCTTTGCCCCTGGCTCCTTTAACACATTGACGACCGCGCGCGTTTTGGCTTTTTTGGCCGTGTGGGACCGGGCCGATTTTGCGAGTGCGACCGCCGCACCTCGGATCCGTGAATTTTTATTGATAACTTTTTAAAAAGCACCAGTGGTACAAAAACATCTCAGTAACAGTCAATGCGTAGAAGGTAATAGAGTATATAGTGACGAAGTTCCGATTAAAGAACATGTAATGGTAATGAAAAAGGAAACTTTAGTCATTTTATCTGTAGTGGATGCCAAAAGCTCTTTTGATGTGGTTATACCAAGTGAAACATGTATTTTTCTGTCTCTTTAGATTTGCATTTACTTTCACTACCCTTTTTTATTGACGTGTTCATGAGAATAGCATGAAAACTATTAATGAACCAAGCCGCCGGTTTCGGTGAGCTTGGAAAACTTCTTCTAAACTGGAGCATATTTGAACAAACAATGACCTATGTCGTTCACAATAATGTTATGTTCTAATCCATAGAAGAGAGACAAACAATTCGGGAAAAAGCTGCGCATGCCCTAGAAAAAGGGATGATAAGGGTGAGACGCGGTAACGCGTCTCAATGTCGTCAATGTGTTAATAACTTATTGTAATCAATAACAAAAAAAGACCAATGCAGTGGAATATACTTTATTACACATCCATTGAGCAAATGAGTACAGTTTCAGAGATGAAAATTCCTCTTATTTCGCTACCAGTACTAAGTTCCAGCTTGAGAAAGCTCTCAAGTGAGTTCCTGTATCATGCTGGAAATTATTTATGTTACAAATCTTTGTAGGGAAATGAGATAAGCCCTCTCTTAAATATGAGGTGTAAATTTCTCAAGACAATGCGAAATTCTAAGTTCACAGAAAATCAAAGAATCGAGAAAATACAACGAAACAAGTATTAAATGCAAATCTCTCACAGATGCTTTTGCAGGATGTAGAACAGGAGATGTTACGAATTCGCAGCCCTGCACTTCCGCGATTTCATCGGACCAACCGCACAGGGTTTATTGGAGTATTTTATCCCAGAAAGCAGACCAGTATGCCAATTTATTTTGAAGAAAGACGTTTTTGTATTCAAGAATTCACAACAAAGACTCACTTTTGCCGTGAATTTCTCATGTTGTTGTGGATTAGGCGTGTCGTGATTTTTGACATGCGTACACTGATCCAAAAAATGGATCACCGGTCAATGGAGACATCGTGATAGTTTTTACGAGGCGGCAATTCACACCATTTTGTAGTCCTATGTAACTGCTGTGTGGACTCATTCATTTGACATTTAATAGAAGAAGCCAACTTGTGTGGAATCCAGTTCGATATAGTTATAAAGATTGACCAAAAGGACATGCATATGGTAATCCTTTACGTCAATCTCTCTAACAGGAGTTTATGATCGAGTAAGTGACACAATATCAGAGGGAGCGCCCTAAGTTACCCCTCAGTCTGAGAAAAAATGCGAAGGTTAGGTTTGATATTCAACGAAAATCCGTCCAACTCCCATGCTTTTGGAATCACCTGGTTCATCCGTAGATGACTTTGTTGTAAACATCAATGCACGTCATCTTGTAGAGAGCACACGGGATCGCATATTTTGGGTATTTGAGAAGTTCCGGATGAAAGCAGTACGTTCGTGCTCCGCGGTACATATTCTTGCATGCCGACTGAATCTCTCTGATGTAGATGTGAGACTCGTCCTGAAATCAAAGCCACCTATTGCTATTTCAGTCACAACTATTGCTATAATGCCCTACGTCCAAGTTGGCCGCAAATATGCGCTGGACAATAAAGGAGTTGGCCGGATTTCGAGGGGAACGGTCAATTCAATCGTCAGCCAATGAGGTCACGCCGCTCACGCGGCGAGCATCCGTCGCGCGCGGCAGTTGGAGCGGCGATTTCTGTGTGGACCTTGTCTTAACCATCCATGTCCATAAGTTGGCTAGGTGACTGATAAGATCAGAGTGCTAGACATCAGCCAGCAAGCGTCATCTTAAGATCTCCGCAATGATTTAAGCCTCACAGTGCAAAGGTTGTGCCATGTAAAGGTTAGTCATTTTGAATTTAATTCTTGCGCTTATTAATCAGCTGCCTGTTAATTTCTATCAGGAGTGATAATCTGGTTCAACCAGAAAGAACATCACGTTCCAAGACACAGAAGAACGGTGAGGAAGGCGCTAACATAAGCATGATAGGATAAGTTTGTAATAATGGCAAGGGCGAAAGAAACTGCATTTCAAGGGGTTAGGTGATTCCTATTTCATGTTTCATGACTGAAAACTTCATCTAATCTTACATTCCCCAATGTTTTGGATGCTGAGTTCTTTGCGAATTCGCCGCGTCATCGCGGGCTGCGGCGGCTGGCGCGGCGACCTAGCCACTGCCACGATTGAATAGTCACGCACCCCCCCCCTTCAGCCATCCGTGATCACTGTCTTTATCGTGGAGGTAGAGTAAAGTGTACTGAAAGTGATCTTAAGGCAGAAAATTCAAAAATAACCGCAAAATGCACCGGAAGAAAAAGGTAGGGTCCTGTTTTTTCAATAGGGCGCCCCTTGATGCCATATAGGGCGTGCTGGGCGAGTTTATCGAAGTTGCAAAGGCTCCAAGTGATTCAGTGCTTGGGATTGCATCCACTTTGCTCTTTTGGGCGTTTCCAACTCGCGCTTCTTCTCAAGCCAATTGGTAAAAGATCAACGCTACGCTAACCTAATTATGCCTTTGAAGAGAAAGTACCAAGTACTTGGGATAATGTGATACGAACTGTACGGCCATGCACCTTCCAACATAGCCTTGCGAGCCGCGGTACTCGAAACCATCGATCCATATGGCAAAACCCGGCTTCATATAAAAGTAGCTCACCTCTTTTTTGAATGGCACTGGCTCGTCAGGCAGACTCGTCCCTGGGCACCGCTCTTTATATCGAATGCAAAAGTCGACTGCCTAAAACGTGAAGGTTCCGCTTTTATTCCATGCGGGTGCGAGTCGGTTCTTGACTTAGAGTATCTCGTCCAAAACTTTCATGGGCGACTTTTCGCAGAGGAAAGTGCAAGTTTTCTGATTAACACTGTAAAAGTGGTATGGAACTGATAGCGATTTGCTCAAATGTCGCTCACTCCGCTAACCGAGTCGCTTAATTTATGAGTTTTTGGTTGAGTTTTTAGGTAGAGATAAAAATTCACGAGGTTTTTTTTGAGGAAAGCTACTTTCGAGGAGATCGGCTTTGCTTCAAACAGAAAGTATATCATTCCTTCAAGTAAATCTTTGATTAACTTCCTCGAGGCATTTTAACCATGATCTGTTCACTCACCTGTTCTGCATAGGTTTTGAATCGGAACGGCTTTGGGCAGACGTACTGGAAACGTTCCCTCGATTTCTTGCAGTACGCTGAGAAGTCGATTTTGAGTTCACTGAAACGCGAGATCTTATAAAGTGACGTTTTATCTGGGATTTAGCCCTACCAAGCGCCTCACCATGTTTCTCCTTCGGGATTCAAAAGTCATTGGATAGCTGCAAGGTCAGTATAATGTAGGGAACGCGCAGTGCAAAAGTTCGTCTATTTCGGAGAATTTCTCAGACAAGTCCAGAAGTGGTGTCCAACTAGAACCCGATCCCCTCCCACTCCTACAGAAGACTTTCAGTGATGTGCTCAGCATCTTGACCATTGCACCTACCCCTTCAAACATTAGGCGGTTGAGTGGGTGTATGTGGTAATTGGTCCACCGACGTTGAAAAAATCGAGAAAACCGAGAACAGCCAAAAAGCTTCGACATCCACTGCACTGGTCGCAGGGAGGGAGAGTTTTCGCCTCGCCCATTCACTCTTTCAGGAGAACGGCTGATCAGGGAGACTCCGTAGAAGTGGTTCGCAAGCCACGCCGGCGATCAGCGCATTATTTCATTTGATTTCAATGGTTTTGACATTTTTTTCTGCTGTCTTGCTTTCTTATTGCTGGACGCAAATACCCCAAATACGTCTATTATTAAGCACAATGACCCCTACCTATCCGAACGCGGAATGCACCCCAACCCTGCGAAGTACGCGATAAATCTACTGATTTTTGGCTGGTACTGCTAAATAGAGGAGAAAGGGGTACCGGGCCACTTAGGCATTGCATCACACAGCCTCTTGTTGTTAGTTTTAGTAGCTGAACAGATTTCATGGCAAACCTACGTTAAATGGGTGAACAAATTTGTTTTGAGTGTTTCAGGACACGTTTCCACGAAAGCGTCACAGAACTCCTGAAAAGCAATTTATAATAGATACAATTAGTGCTAGCTGACAGAAGCCGATATGAGTGGAGGTGCAAAAATCACCTTCGTCTCTTCGAAAGCTTGCGGCAGTGGCGGTGTGAAGCAGACCTGATCGTACTCGGTTTTCAAGGTTTTGCAAGACTGAAATGACATTCTTGATGAACACAATGATTTCTGAGAGCAGATTCAGTGAGTGAAGGCAAAAAGGGCCGAGCCCTCCCTTACTGGATCGTCTCCCGTTTGTCGAGCCAGTCTTAGAAACTTCTGGTCCTCATCCGACAGCTCATCCGCACGAATCCACTTGGATCGCGTTCCTGAACAAAAATCACTTCTGACCTGAGAGCTATAGCTGCTGTTCTGAATCTTCGCTCATCTAACCCTGCAGCAATTGAACTAAACTACATAACTGCGCCAAGAAAAGGGCAGAGAAACAGTGTATTGTGTAGAAACGCCCCTCCCCCTTCTGCACAATGAAGTGAAGTGAAGTTGAAATACTCGTAAAAGCATGGAAATCTAAGTGGGTGCTCAAAGAACCATTACTCATAAAAAATCACCGTTGTTCCTTTCCTTGGTCCGCGAGGCACAGCCATTGAAAGACCTGTTGATTTTGCATATTCTATCAATCAGTGAAGAGGAATGGGTCACATGTAGCGCGCAAAACAACACAATCCATCCTCGAAATGACATCAGCTGCCTGTCCCTAAAATACGGACATTTATATTGAATACGGTACTGAATACACTGGTCTCCTGATTTGGAAGATTCAAAAGGAAAACAGAAGAAGATGTGAAGATGTGAACTTCAAATAAAACCTGAAGATTGCGAATATTATGTTTGAAAGTTATTAAGAATTACTAAAAGTCGAAAGGTGATCAGTGCAGTCACACGTGCGTGCGTATGAATCGCGATTACACCGTGAGAACCAGTTCAAAGGATCATCGCTCTTGGTGTTCCTTCGTTGACTGTTACAATCGAAGAAGGTGTCCTCTAAAATTACTGAAGGGAAACGGGTACCCCACAGGAGGCCCGTCGCG